TCTACCTGTTTCTGAAGCCGATATTTGTGCTCCTCCAAAAAAGATTGCCTTGTTATCCACTGCAGGAAAGAAGCCTGCTAAGGCCACCCCTTCCAGCTCCATTCTAAGGATGAACACACCCCAGCCTGTAATTCAAGGCATATGGACAATTCAGATATTTGCTAGATGGCTTTCTTCTGTGGGCGATGGCTCCTGCCTGTGGGCAGCCCAAGATGCCACATTTTCCTTTGCTCAAGCATCAGCAATGTTTTGTCTAATTGCTGACAAATTCCAAGAACAACCCATGATCTCTGACATGTATGCAAAATGTTTGCAACTGATGGAACATGTTCTCGTACCAGTAAAAACAGGGATGATATCAACTTTTTATTAAGTGAATTTATTGTGTTAAGTATTTTGTACTTACCACTAAATTTTACCACCTGGAGTTATCGACAATATTACAGTTGCATATCAGTTTTATAGTTTAGTAAATCAAGGCACAGAGAATGGCATCTCCAAGGTGACAAGCTCAAAGAAGGCAACTTTCGCAAGAAGTGAACTTGTGACTCCTACTCATTTTCCTGATTCTAATGTTTTGCCTCTTAAAGAAGCTATGTAGATGAAAGAAGAAGACAGATTTGGGTCATACAAATGCTATTTGGAAGGAAACATTAGCACACGGCTGACTGGGCCCTGCAGGAAGATTCTACAGGGTCTAAGCATCCCAGAAGCGCTCATTCTCTAATCTCCCTCCAGGCTCCTTTCTGAGCTGGAGGTGATATGGGAGTGGGGAGGAGTGGAATGCTCGTATCAGGACAGTCCCCAGCCCAGCCTGGTTGCCAACTGAGATCCTCTCAAGTTAAAAGCTTTACAAATACATTCATTTCATTTTTCACAGCATTCTAGCAAAGTGAACAATAATATCTATTTTACACAGAGGGAATTGGAGTTATATGAGGCTAAGGCATAAGGTTGCATAGCTGATGAATAATAGGCCTAGGATTTGCCTCTTGACAAATAAGTTAGATTCTGCCCATTTAATACATTTAACTGCTATATGAAATGCAAATAAATATAGAGTGCCTATCACAATGAATTACCTAGGACAAAGCTCAAGAGACTGAAATATATAAGTAGTCAGGAACTGGCGATTATTATCTAATCAATAAAATTTAATCTTCTTAGAGCCAAGGACCACTTATTTCATTCATGACGGTATTTCAAAAGGTTTGTGGAAAACTGGGATTTAAAAGGTGCTTTCTCTGATGCAAAAAAATTTAAAAAATCTATGCATGTGAGGAGTTGTCACAAAGTTCACGAACGATGCATGAAAAAATTACATGGATTTCAATATTGTTTCGAACCAATTTCTTATTTTTAAATTACGTTTTCCCATAAACTTTTGGAAGTGTGCTTGTATCTTTCTATGCCTCCAGGTACACAGATCTACACATGCTTAGTGTTCACTGACCGACCAGGACTGCAGAAGTAAGAACACTGATGAAGGAGGGTCCATGTCGCAGGTTGACACAGCTCACAATGTGGCGTGGACATGTTTGGTGACCATTGACAGCTTGGTTTACCCAGAGGAGACTTGCTGGCTGGGCGTAGAGTCTCAGGCTCTCCTGGGGGGGTGAAAGAGCTTGGGAAAAACTTCCTTGGGGTCCAGAAGGGTCATTTCCAGTTGTAAATGTAAAAGTTCTAAAATTTGGTTTCCAGAAGGAAAAAAAGAGAGAGGATATGGGTTAACTGAGTTTGCAGACGTCAAAGTAACCAAAGGGATTTTTCTAATTCCTGCAACCAGCTACGCATTGTGGTGGGTTGAGGAAGCAATAAAGAAATAAGAGAGGAAAAACAAGCATTGGACTCTCCTCTTGGGATACAGGGTCCCACAATTCCTCTGGTCCAACCTTCTCCACCTATGGAGACCCAAGAAAAGCAATACTGTATGTTTGGGCCCAGCATCCTCCAGATTGGTGGCACAATGTCTCCCCTCTTTAGGATGCACCCCTAATCCCAACCAGTAGGCCCCAGTCCAGCTCCCAGCCTCTCCCCTTTGGCTCTATCCTGTTGGGTCCGTTCTTCAACCGCGCGGAACTCCTTCGAAAACCTCACTGTTTTGGCAAATCCTCCATAGGTCCAACTCCGCTTTTGTCATGGAGTATGTGGACAGCACGTCAAATCAGAAAGCTTGGGTAAGGTTGAGCCAACCACTTTATCAAGGCAGGAGCAGCGGGGAGAGTCCCAGGTAACCTCAGGGGCGCGTGCAGTCTACACAGGGAAGATTTACGAGGGGATCCCCCCCCAAAATTCATGAAAAATGTGTATGATGAAAACAACGAACAGATTTCAAACTTTCAAGTGATCTTTTAATTCCACTTTCCCATGAACTTTTTGAAGTTCCCTCATACCTGCTTTTGTTCATGGGTCTCCTTCCCGTCGCACCAGCGCGAGTGGGAGTTGAAAGGCTTTCGGAAAGCTGCGTTTTGGGGTGGGTTTGAAAACTCTCCTCTCTTGCTCTGTTTTTCTTTTTAGACAACTTTGCACAAGAGGCAAGGCTCCTGCCAAAAGCCCTCGTAATGCCCCTCTTTGGGGACTGAATTTATCCGCTCAGCTGTCCCTCGTAAATTTATTCCTGCGTGAGATTTTTCCCAAACCATTCATTCCTCCGCTTAGCTCAGGCAGCTGGAATGCAGAAAAAAATACATTTTTTTCCTTTCTTTCTTTTTTTTTTTTTTTTTCCAAGAATGTGCCTTTTGTGTGCTGGGAGGGGCCGGGCTACAGAGCAAAAACAAAAGCGAGCTACAACACAGACGGACACCAGGCTGTGCACAGCCCCATGAGGCACGCGTGCTGCCTGGGGCTACTGATGGGTGGCAGGGGGCGCCTGGCACCCCACCCGGTGTGTGCCGAGTGGGCCATGGGTCCTCAGCCTGGGACACAGCCAGAGAAACACCTCACTGGCTGTTTCCATGGCAACATCACAGTTGCACTGGAATGGAAAGCCTCGGTGGGTCAGAGCCAGGAGGGCTTTCCAGCTTCTCGTGGTGTGCACAACGTTGGGCTGTGGAGCTTTGACTTGATTTTTCCTCGAGTGATTATGGTTCCCGAGGCAGGTGAGAGCCGTGTGGAAGGAGCTGGAGGTGACATATGTGCTTCAAGAATTCAGGCTGCCTTAGGGGCAGGGAGCGTGTCCTGTGAGGCATAGAGGGGGCCAGGGGGCATGGTGTCTTGAGCACACCGCATAGCAGGCATGCGGAGCCACCCCGTAGAGACATCCTTTGTACGGCCCTGATATTTCTCCTCCTGTGATTTCCTGGCGCACAGAGATACTGGGAAACCCAGCAGTGATAGCAGAAAGACAATGACAGGAGCTTGCCGCGTGGCCTGGGCAGGGCCCTGCACCACAGAGTAGAGGCGGGCTACAGGAGGGTGTTAGAGCAAGAAATATGAAGTCAGCAGTCCTGCCGCCGCCCGGTATCCCTGCAGCAGTCAGAGCAAGGTGGTCCACACCGCCTGCAGTTCTGTGCCCCCTTTCAGCCCACAGCACGGCTGCAAGGGCCCCGCCCTACCAAGAATCCTGGTTTTCTCTTACTATCAGGGCAAAGAATTTTTAGAATCAATGGGCCCCAACTCTGGTTTCCTGCCTGTAAATAGACAACTTTTGGGGTGCAAATGCCACTTTTATCCCTGAAGCACACCAAGAAGATGTTGGGGGGGACCGGCACAGTTGTAATTTTTCTCACTTTCTCAAGGGCCCACCACCAGTCTGGTGCCTGGAGCTGATCTGCGCGGGGTGGTTTTAGGGAAGGGTCCCTTCTTCTGTTGTGAGCCTGGAGAACCCCCTTTGGCAGTGGCCACTGGGTTGATGGGACTCAGTTGTCCCTACCCTAGGCTCAGGAGGAGGCATTGGCCATCTGAGCGGGTTGATGATAGGAGCTCGAGGGTGACCCTGGACCGAGAACAAGCCAGAGAGGGCATGTCACCGGCTCCTTGAGTCAGTGTGCATTAGGAATCCGAGGTCCTTGGGGCTGAGAGGCCAGTCCGGGTGTGGCTGAGTTTCCGCCTTCCTGACCAATGCTAGGTGATGCTGATGCTGAGTCCCTTGACCACTCCGAGTGGTCCAGGGCGTGAATGCTCATCGAGTGGGCCAGGAAGGGATTTTTGCACTATGCAGAACAGGAAAATATTCCCAGTGTAAGTCTCCTGCCATTGCCAACAGGAAACGTAGTTGCTTCCTTGTTCTAAGGCCATCTTTCTGGTCTTGTCCTCCCACAAGCACTAAGCAAGTCAAACACCAGTGATCGGTGTCAGCGTGCAGCTCCTTAGCATAAGTGGTTTAAGGGCAACTGTAGTTTGTTTCTGGAATTGCAATAGCACAAATGTCATATACACCTGGATCTGCACCCTGGCTGCCCCACTGGTGCAGCTATGTGAACATGGAGAGGTTACCTGTTCTCTCGAAACTTAATTTTCTCCCTTGTACAGATTAAATGTAATAATGTGTATGTAGTATACTCAATTAATATTGGCTGTCGGAATCATTGGTTACGAAATCATGGATGTATATCAGAAGCCACGAGCTGGGGGCCCACAGGACCAAACCGCCCTTCCTCTAGATGGATTTTATTTGGCCTGTGTGGTGTTTTAAATAACATTGGGTTAGTTGCCAACATCTTAAAATTGAGCAATTTCACATAAAAATCTGAATTTGGGGCTTATATTGAAAAATCATTAGCTCTGTCAAATCTGGCACTGACTTCTCGCATAGACTTCTTGCATAGTAACAGCCGGTGAGCAGCGGAGCTGAGTGGGGCTGGCAGCCGTCCACGGGGTCTCTAGCTCCAGTTTTCCATCTTGTGGACCTCTCTTTTGTGTAACTTCCTCCTGTGGACACATGTCCTTGCGTCCCCACACCTCTGGGTTCCCTTCTGACTCTAGAATTCTAGTGTTGGCTCGGTGACATGTAGGAAGGGCTTCTGGAACTCAGCAAGTAAATTCAAGGGTCACCTTTGTCAATACTGCTTCTCCTGCTGAAATGAACGAAAGCTGGTAGCCTCTTCTTTGAGATCCAGCAGAGCGGTTGTCTTTACGGCTCTTGGCAATACCTCTGGGGCCCAGAGCCTGCTGCCTCTAGACTCCCCATGTCCATCGCTGACCACTGGCCATCTCAGTCGCACGTCTCCCTTGGCCTCTCCCTCACATGTAAGATGCTCATGACCTTGGCCTTGCCGTTCGGGTAGGTGCTGCTCTTTCCTCTGCGCTGACATCCGGGTGATTTATGAACGTCATTACTCTTTCATTGGCCTCTTGCTCTTTTGAGTCTCCACAGCAGCCTGGGCCTAGGGCCCAAGAACTTAGCTCCTGAGTTAATGGCAACGCTAGACATACGCTACTGGCTGTAACCCAAAGGCACTCCTGGAGCCTGTGTGGGAAGGATCTCTCTCTCTCTCTCTCTCTCTCTCTCTCTCTCTCTCTCTCTCCTCCATGCTTTTCATTATGGGCTGGGGGGTGGAACCACAGAGCAAAGAGGAGGAGGAGTAGGCACAGGATAAAGACAAAAGCCCAGAGCCTTTGATTCTCTTCTTCCCAGGATCTCGTGAGGACCCACAACTTGGTAGAAGTTCTGGGGGAGCAGGTGCTCTAGATGGATCCTGTCAATGATGGGTGAGCCCTGGGAAGGGGCTGAGGGTGGGGGTGGGGAGAGTTGTCAGGGGTCAAGGCCTGAGAGGGCCCACTTAGCTGTAACTGTGGCTGATCAGCATCTCCAATCCACAATGAAGAAGCCTATGTGAATTCTGTTCCCACACTCCCTCCACCCTGCCTGGCCCCCAGCATCTACCTTGGGGGTAGACATGATTAGGATTCTTGTAGGTAATTGGTTATCTGGACCGTGAGGGACAGTGGGGTGGCTGCTGTTGGGAAAGGTGACACAGGGATGTATGTACTGCAAATTTTGGTTGAGTAGGTTTGTGTATGGGGGGTGGGCAACGGAGCTTTGAAATTCCTGCCGTCCCCTCTAGATGTTGGAGCAGAGAAATGGAGCGTTTTTGGAAGACCCAAGCTCGCTGTTCCCGAAGTTCCTTTAGCCAACGCAGCAGGAGAGCAGGGGACACCTAAAAATCACATTTCATTTTCTGGAAGTTTGAGAACCTAGGGCTAATCCACTCCTGTGTTCACTGATCTAGAGACAAAGAATTAGCTTGTTCCTGAAGTTGTGTTGAGTGAGACTTCTGTCTGCCCTGTCTTTACTCTCCAGCTGCCTGGCATGGTGCAGACAGGCCCTTCAGATGATGGACAGGACATTGAACTTGGAGGCTGACACAGGAGGAGCCTGCTCCTGTATCTCGCAGCCTCAAGAAGGGAGAGAGCCTGTGTGAACGCATATTCCTTCACTGCAAGTACAGGTAGTTTCCACCGCAGGGTGCACCAGCATCCTCTGCAAACTTTGAGAACACAGATGCTCAGCGGCCACCAAGCCCAAGGAGGCAGAGCTCTGGACTGTGCCCAAAGGCTGCCGCTAACAAGCACTGTGGTGACTCCGGCCTCCACAGCCAGCCAGCCCACACCGCATGGCCTTTGTAACTCACCCAGCGAATGATGCTCTAGCAGCTCAATGTAAAGCTGCCTCGAGTGAGATCTCTCTGGAGGGAGGAGCCGTTTCAGCAAGAGAAAATGCAGCACCAGGAGCCTGCAGGCCCCACCCTGAGGGGACAGCTGGGGCGGGGGT